CTGCAGCTGTGCTCATGCATGAGGCATTTATCGGCCACATCTAGCAAAAAAAAGCCAATTTCCAATACTATCAGTTTTCCCTATATCAGTGCCAATCTGATATGGGACCGATGTATTGGTGCACCTCTACATACGTCTGGGTTTTCCCAGACATGTCCTCTTTTTGGGTTCTCCCATCTCTGTCCAAGTGTTTTTTTTTAAATATCAGCAAATACCCAGGATTATGCTCTGTCTCTGTATTCCTGCCCTCCCCATGCATGCCAGCTGCAGGCGAGATGCTTGGTTTTGCTACCTGGTGCAGATAACAGCTGCTTGCTCAGTCTGCCCCCAGCCCCTTCCTGTCACTCCCTCCCAGCTGTGCAGAGCGGGGTTCCACCCTCCCGACTGCACTAACTCTATGGTGGGGGAGGGGAGGGAGCACAACAATGGGGCCCTGCTGTGACACTGGGGCTGGCAGCGGACGGTTACCACTCACTGGGGCATTGTTGTGACCACTGTGGCACCTTTGCCTCCTCTTTCTCCATCTCTTTTGCTTGGGATTGCTGCCGCTGCAGTGGGGAAAGAGGCAGCTGCTGTGGCTCTTGCCCGGTGCTATGGCTTGCACACTCAGCCAGGACCTTGTGGACATCAGTAGTCATGTGCCCACTGGGTTGGGCTGGGCTGCGAGGGGTGAGAGAAGGGCGCTGCACCAGAAAAGTTTGAGGCAGGCATACAGCAGCGTAGGGACCCCGGGTGCCTCAAGAGTCTTTCCAGGGTGCTGTGAGGTGTTAGCCCTGTTGAGGGTGCAAACACGACTCACAAGATGAACCCAGAAGTGTCAGATAGGAATCCACAGGTGTTAAAAACCTTCTGACCTACTGTGGTCCTTCTGAGTCTGTTTGAAAGACATGAATTGCTTTGTTCTGTTCCAGGAGTTCGATGAAAAAAAGGAGTGGAAACTAAGAGCTGGCCCTTTCACACCTGTGCCAGGAGTCTAAAAACGTTGAGAACCAGTGTTCTAGGCAGCTCTTCTTTCCTCTTCCCACATGAGCTCCCAGCAGGCCTGGGCTCCTCAGGACCACTGGCTGCTTTCTCCAGAAGCTTTTCTGAGCAGCCCCAGGCTACTCCTGGAGCTGCCTGACTTGGGTGGAGAGGTGTAGGCAGTCAGGTCAGATTCACTTGGCTGCCTAAGGGTGATTTTCTGTTCACCTATCTGAGAGGCCCTGAAAATCCATGAATGTGTATGAAACACCATCATCTGAACCAGGGGTTGGCAATGTTTTTGGCCGGAGTGCCAAAAACACCCCAAACTCAACTCATGCCTGGATTTGGCATGCCAGGGGCAGACCGGGAGGGGAACAGGGTGGGGTGAGGGAGCTATGAGGGGTCTGATCCTCATTGCTGGCAGCAGGTGCTTGGACACATCCAGGTGGATGGTGGGGAAGGGGCTGGAGTCATGTTGCCCCAGCCCTTTCTTCATCGCATGCCCTGAGGTGCACATGCAGCCACTGCTGGCTACTGGACCCTGGGCTCACAGCAGGCAGCAGACGGACTGCAAATAGCTGCACTGGGTTTCAGAGCCCTAGCCTTGTTCCATGGCTAGTGGCAGCTGCATGTGCGCCTCAGTGTGTGTGGGTGGGGAAGGGGCCTAGGGAATGCAACCCTGGCCCCTCCCCTGCCAGCACCGAGCTGGGTAGGTGCTCTGCAGACCTCAGTGCAGTGGCTTGCAGTGTCCCAGCTGCCTGCCACAGCTGGCCTGGACTCTGGGCAGGCCTCTGCCACCCTCTATGGAATCTGGGCTGCTTGCAGGAGGGAGGCTGCAAACAGCTGCACTGAGGTCGGCCGAGCCCTGGCCCGACTTGTTGCTGGCAGCAGCTGCACATGCATCTCTGGGTGGACAGCAGGGGAGGGGCCAGGGAGGCAGGACACTATGGGTTGGGAGTGAGGGGCATCAATAGGGCCAGTGGTCTGCGGGTTGGGAGTGAGGGACAGCAGCAGGGCTGGGGCAGCTGTGGCTTGGGAGGGAGGTGCAACAGAATGGGCAGGTGCAGGGCGCCGGTGTATTGCTGCCCCCACAATCATATATTCCCTCCACCCCCTTGCGACAGATGTCCTCTTTCTTGAAACTGGAAATATGGTAACCCTAATTTAATGCAAAGTCTTAATAGAGAGTCTACATACATAACTGTCTTAATGCAGAGCTGCTTCTTGCTGCATGTATGCCTAAAGTTCCCATGACAGCTTTTACAGTAGTTGGATTGGTAATCCTATTCCTTAACTAAATTCTGTCCCTGGTAATTGTCAACTGTTAATTCTGCTCAAGCTCAACTCGGTTGTCTTGGCTATAATTTTGCTATAATAATGGGAGGAATTTCACTAATAGTGCATAGGATATTTGGGTATAGTTTTTATATAAGCTATCCTTTGATTTGGTATCTCTATAGAATTATTATATTTATAATCTTGGTGAGAACACAAGTTGATATCTCTTCTGAAATTGTGTAGTGAAAAGGTTTACCCTGTTACTGATTTAACGGAAAACACCTCGGAACAGGCCATCCTTGACTTAAACTTGGCCCAAAATGTAGGCCTTTTGTAAAAATATATTTCGTCATATATATTCAATTTATTCAATATATTTCATTTCATAGTTTGTAATGTGTTTGAAAATGTTCTCATAATTTTAATTCCAAAGTGAATATTTTTTTAACAAATGTTCCCCTGCACTTGGCAATCCAAACATCATGGCATTCTGTTATTCTACTAATAATGGAAAATGAAACAAAGTATGCTATTTTTGTTATCAAAGCGGAGTGTAACAAAAAGAGAGATTGGATGCGGTTAATAAAACTTCAAATTCTGTCAGTTTTAATAATTTAGACCAAGTATGCAGGCTAACCAGGATGCTTTCTAAAAGCATATGATTTTAACCTAACTGTGTGCTTCAAACACTTATCTAGAAGATCATTGGTACTACCTTTTTATATGGTTCATTGGTTTCTTCAGGAGGATTTTACAACTGTAAAGCTCAGCAGTCCTTTTTACTCCTAGAGACTGTTCTGGACAGATGACGACAGAATTATTTGGACCAGAATGTATGGAACACTGTCCTGAAACAGATCAACAAAGCCAGTACCTTATCTTTTTTAAAATCCTTCAAGACTTGCTTCTGCCATTATGGGGGGCAGAGGGGTGACTTGCTTTTGTACTCTCTTCTGTGATGTACATTATGTAGACATGAGGTTTAAAACTAACTGTATACAGAATCATAGAAAAATGGAACAGAGGGGGTCTCAGGAGGTCATATAGTCCAATCCCTGTTCAAGGCAGGATCATCCCTGTCTAAGTCATCCCAGACAGGTGTTTGTCTAACCTGCACTTAAAAGCTGCCAGTGATGGAGATTCCACAGTTCTCTAGGTAATCTGTTCCAGTGCTTAATCCTCAGAGTTAGGAAGGGCTTCCTAAAAAGCGGCCTCCCCTTGTTGCAATTGAAGCCCATTGTTCCTTGCCTGGTCCCCTGGACACACAGAACAGTTTATCACCTCTTTTTGTCTTTGAAAACTGTTAGTACTGCCTCCAGTTTTTGCTCTCCAGACTAAATATTCACTATTCTTTCAGCTTTTCAAGTATGTCATGTTTTCTTGACCTCTGATTATTTTGATTTTAAAAAATGTGGCTAAAACCTTCATATAAAGGTGTACAGCTGTATAATGCATTTGTGCTCTTTGCCTTAAGATGTTAATAACAATAATATGAAGTTTTTATATAGAGCACTTTTCACAGTAGATCTTGGCATCTTACCAAGAAAAGATCATTGCTTCCTTTACAAACAGGGGAAGTGATTTGTCCAGACTCACATAGCAGGCTGGCAGCAGACCTGAGCTAAGAATAGAATACAGATCGCCCTAGCCTCAATCCAGTGCTTTGTACACTAGACCACACTAATCATGTACACTTCCTTAAAGGGGAGCATGGAGCCTGAACATTTTCCTTTTAAATACTAACTGAAATGTATTTTTCCCAAATGATGGAATTCCTTCAGATCCATGTGCCAAAATGCTGTGTTTGGGAGTAGGGAGGATTTCTAGTTTTTTAATAATTAGTGTTTGTACATAATACAGAATTTAATGAAGCTTGCTAATAGGCTTCACCATAGATATATTAATTATGATATTCCCGAATTTCAAACGAGTTCTAATTTGGGATTATTAGGTAGAGAATAGCCATATTGGTTCTGTCTATAACATTTGAAAAACCTCTTGCGGGGTAAAGCAGTTTCATAAATATGTTGGACCTAACATACTTGAATTGGACGGAAAGTCTCACCCTGATGATTCTAACTGGTATTTACTATTCACACTGTACTTGGTAGTCTGAAGGGGAAGAGACACTTTTGTTTCACAGAAATAGAATTGAAGGAAAGCCTCTTTGGTGTGGATAACACTGCAGTTGGTATGTATGTAAAGAATTTAGGCGTATATCTGCAAAGGCATGTACATGGATTCCAATGGGAATTAGAGGCCTAAAGGGGAGTTAGATACCTACATTATTTGTGGGGCTTAATTTTTATTGACATGAAAGGGATTTGTGTAACATTTTTTGTATTTCCCCCTATCGCTGTATTTAAAATACGTTACTTTACTACAGTAAGTGAAATTGCTACCTCAATAAGGCTTAGAGACCTAATCTTATGCTACCTTTTAATTATGTAAGCATTTCGACTGTTGTAGGGAATGCTTGCATGGATTTTGTTTGCTGGATTCGTTCTGGGTGTGAATAGGCCTTGCATGATATATGCAAGTTATTTTAAAAACACTACAAGAAAGGCCAGTTACAGTAGGGGCATGGAGAGGAAAATAGATGCCTGGAATATAGAACTCTGTCAGAATAAGAGCTCTGGAAGCATTATGAGAACCAAATTCATTCCTTAGTTTGGTATGGCTTTAAGTATCCCTATAGGCTTTTACATGAATGATTTTGCAGTTTTTAAGAGATACCCTTCCTTTTTGTTCCTGTCCAGATATGAATACCACTGGGCAGATGGGACAAACATAAAGAAACCAATCAAGTGCTCTGCACCAAAGTACATTGATTACCTGATGACTTGGGTCCAGGATCAGCTGGATGACGAAACTCTTTTTCCATCTAAAATAGGTAAAGGCAAACAGTACAACTGGCAAACTGCTGTAAAGAAATATTAATATCACTAGTGTTGTAAAGCTTTTTAGTTGGTATGTGAACTTATAAGAAGGAACAAATCTTACTTCTGCCTCCCAAAGTTGAATAGACAAATAGTTGTAAATGGCTGATATAAGTTTATTTTTAAAAAAATTGTTAGTTAAAGTAGGACTGTTGGAATAACTTATTAGTGTGCTGAAAGATGCTTTTATTGGGTTTAGATATAATTTGGGTGCCAAATATGAGACATGATACACAACTGAGAAATCCTTAACAAAAACCTGCTATGATTTAGGATATAGAAAAGGTCATTTTTGTTTAACAAGTGACTGTTGGGTTTTGTTTTGTTTTTTAAAGCTTTCTTATTTCAAAAGAGGGGGAGGACTTTTCCTAACCAAAAAAGAAAAAAGGAACAGTGACCTTGGTGTCTTTGGGAAGACTATAGTCACTATTCAGAAAAGATGCGTACTCCCAAAGTCTGATTTGTGGCTTGAGCATGACTATAGGTAGAACTTGGTGATTTCAAGAGAAAGTGGCAGTGTTTGTGGATTAAGGGAATTACTTGAAATTCATGGCACAACTCAGCCGCTTAAAAAAAAATTTAAAATGTGCCCAGACTAGTATGTTTTGCTATGCTTAGGTAAAAAGAATAAACTTTAAATTTTTGCTTTCCAGAAGACTAATGCATGCTGCTTGTTCTGAAGCTCAAAATTTGCAGGAAAGGCTTGCATCTCCCACTCAACTGTATATGAAAGCCAGTTGTGGAAACAGAAGGGAAATATCTTAGTTGCCTTTGTTTTTGTGACTAGGGTCTTTGGGTAAATCTGATATCTTTTATTAGACCAACTGAAATAGTTGGGAAAGTTCTTAGCAGGCTTTCGGGTTTAAATATCCTTCAACAGGCTGAGGAAGCATCTGCAGTTGGTGTGTGCTCTTCCTGGATATAGTAAAGAAGCCAGAGTTTTTGTGAGTTGTTTCAGAAAGACGTGATAAACCTGTAACAATGGAGAAACAGACAATATGTTAGGAACAAAGCTTTTTGCACTTGCTTGTACATTGTTTCAGACTTACGCAATTAATCTGGCTTGTGTATTTTTGTATAAGAACACTTTCTTCTCAACTATCCCCAGCAGGTGGAGACATAAGACTAGATTACAATATGAAATTTTCATTATTGTATCTGTTCAGTAAATAGGAAGGAGAAATATTTTTTTATTATTCATAGTAATGTTAGTACAAGTGATTATTAGGTATTTTATATTATGGTAGGACTCAGAGGCCTCAACTGAAACTGTGACTGTTTTTCAGGATCCTGACACATTTATAATCTCTCCTTTTTTTTATAGCATGCTAGATTGTATTTTGAAAATTGTGAAAGACCTTAAGGATCATAGTGACATAAGCAACTGAACCTGAGTTCCCAGTATGATGGAGTTGCTAAGAAAGCAAATGTGATATTGCATTGCTTGAATTAGAAATATATTGAGTTGAAATAGGTGTGTTTTATTACCACAGTATTAGGTGTTAGTGAGTCTGCTACTTGCATCTTGAGTCCAATTCTGGTATCCGTATTTAAAAAAAAATTTGCACAAATTGGTAAGGCTGAGAAAAGAGTTGTCCAAATGATTGAAAGTCTGGGGAGCCTGCTGTGAAATGAGAGACTAATGAACCTTCATCTATTTAGTTTGTCCAAGAGATGGTTAAGTGCTCATGTAGACACTCAGGGTGCCTGTACATGTGCTAGGAGGCTGCTCTGACATGCTGTAATTACTGTGAGTTGGAGCAAACTCGGTTAATCGAGTCTGCTGGAGCATGCTAATTGGCGCATTCCAGCCAGTGTCTGTCTTGTGTATCAGCATCCCCCTGCCTCAAAATGACAGTGGGGGGGTGCTTTCATAGATTTCATAGACATTAGGGCTGGAAGGGACCTTGGAAGATCAAGCTTTATCTAAAGCTTGTTCCACAAGCTTTAGATAGTGTCTCTGCCACTATTTTGAAGCATGGGGACACTGATACACGAGACGCTTCAGGCACTTTAATTAGAGCTAGAGCAGCTCTTGGAGCCGCTCTAATTAAAGCACCCCTCCCCACCCCCAGAGCACATGTGAAAATGCTCTTACAGACCATGATTAGAAGATTTCTGAGTTGAGAGCTCTTTAGTGGAGCAGACTAAAGCTGTGGTTGTGTATCCCTGGGCATACTTGGGAAGGTGCAGCAGTGGCACGGAGAAGCGGGGGCACTTCTGGTTTTGCCACCTGTGCTTCTGGTTTCATCGCTGTGTGCAGGGGATTCCCCCCCCCTCCCCTCCCCCGCTCGTCGACTGGCCAGGGTTCTCCTTGTTTCTTGACATGCCGCCAGGGATACACCAACCAAAAAAGGTTGAAAACCGCTGGACTAAAGCATAAAAAAATCCAGTAACTGGAAGATGAAGTTATACAAATTTAGACTAGAAATAAAGTGCTTTTGTTTTCTTTAATAATAAGGGTAGCTTAACTAATGGAACAACCCACCAAGAGAAGGGGAGAGTCATTATCACTAGACGTCTTTAAATTGAGAATGGATGCCTGTCTAAAATATATTTGGGCTCAGCTGGATGTTACATGCTTAATGTGGAATCATTAAATAAAATTCATTACCTATGATATGCAGGGAGGTCAGACTAATGTATCATAGCTTCTGAAGCCATGAAGATGTGATCTTTGTCTCAGAAAATTTTCTATGTAAGTTCATTGTTTTGTTATTTCTAGGTGTTCCTTTCCCAAAGAACTTCATGTCTGTAGCAAAGACCATTCTAAAGCGCCTCTTTAGAGTCTATGCTCACATTTACCACCAGCACTTTGATCCTGTGATCCAACTGCAAGAAGAGGCACATCTTAACACATCCTTCAAGCACTTTATATTTTTTGTTCAGGTAAGTTAGCACATGGTCAGCTGAGTCAAGATTGCCTTCTACTTTGAGGAAAGGATATATTAGAAATGGTGATTATAAAATTTGTTCTTCTAAGCTTTTTAGCAACTGATATTAAAATACCTTATTGGTATTCTTATCCATTCTTACAAAAAGTTATTACTATATGTTTTTTATTTGGTTGGGTTTTTTTAATCAAATAAAAACTTAACTTGTAGCCAGTAGAAGAGGGGAAATTGAAACCAGGCAGCAAATAATGTATTTATTCAAATGCTATTGAAAGAAAGAACAACCTCTTTAGGGGGGAAAACCTTGTCTTGAGTTGCAGCGGGGTGAGATTTTTATGCAGAATACAATCCTGAACCCTGAAAAAAATATTAGTGTGCTTTTTGGTTGTGAAGTAAAATATTCTAGATTTTGTAATATGGGTGCTTGTCCATGAGGCACTTGAGTACAGATACCAATTCTTTTTACACAGGCTAGTAAACAGCACTCGGATGGTAATAACATTTAGTCACGGTGACCTAGATTGGATCTGAACTAATGCTCTAGAAGTAAAACGTTGGCTATGTTTTACCTTACCTTTATGGATTCGTTAGTTGAGAATCATTAACAGGCAAGCCTAGATTTGAAAGCCTCAAACTGCAGAGTAGCTTTATCTAAATAAAGCTTCTACTATAACTGTGAAGTATATGTGAAATGTTATTAATGCTACATTAAAATGGAAGTAAAATTTGTGTTTGTTTTTTTTAAACCTTTAGGAATTCAACCTTATTGACAGAAGAGAACTTGCTCCACTTCAAGAATTGATTGAAAAACTCACCTCTAAAGATAGATAAAAGGAGGTGGATTTGTGCAAACCACTTGTTTCTTTAAGCAAGCATGTGATATGTTTTGGGGTCTTTTTTTTCCTTTTAAACAAAACAAACTTTGTTCTGTTCTTACAGGCAGCCAAGATCCATTCTCTGTGCTTTTATTGGGGGAAATCTTTTTGTCTTTTAGTGACACACAGTAAATGGCTTTTTTTTTGTTCATTTTGGATTTTTAACACACGTTGAGTGTTTTATAAAGGAAATATTATTTGTTGGGGAAATTGACACTGCTGGTGGATAGATCTGTATTGTGTCAATTGTAGCCCATTCTCATGAAGTCCCTAGAAGACTTACATTCTCTAAGTGCCTTGGCAGACTCGCTTCTGAGGTGCAAAGCACATACCGTACTGAACGTTGCTGGAAACAGAATATATGAACTAATACCCAGGACACTTACTGATGCTTGTTTTAGAATTTATATATATCTATATCCTTAAACTAAAAAAGCCATAACATACACAGGTGATCTCCAGCTTTTAATACAAAGTATTCTTTTTTATTTTAAGAGATGAATATGCAGCTACTCAAAACTAAGTAGATCATGTCCTAATAATCTAGCTGAAGTGATAAAGGTTTCAAAACTATAGGGAACCCAGGATGACAGAGGACCAGCTATCCATCCTACTATTTTTCTTCTCTGAGGTACATATTTATTCTGTTACTGTAAATATCAATTCAGGTCAGTCATTTTTATAAAGTTAAACACTTTCCTTTATAAAGCTTCGTAGCATTTGTCAGATGGGCCATGGGTTTGCACAAATATTTTCAGTGAGAAAAGAAAATACACTTCTTCACCATCAAAAATGACAATTTGGTAATACTAAGAAAGGTATTGTCTGAAATCCACTGGAGTAATGAAACACAAAATTAAAAATAAAAAGACAACTTAATGGTAGACCTCAAGTTCTCAGGGTTTTTCACAATGAAAAACATATACATTAATAGAAAAAATGTCTTGTGGACTATGTCCCATTTATAATCGCACACATTTCCTCCCTTTCATTATTGCATGACTTCTTTCTGGAAACTACATCACTTGTTTACATGGGGAAAGTAATGGTTGCAGTGCATTGGTGTACTTTTATCAGTCTTTAGTCTTTCTGAGAAATCTTAATCACAGCATCTCCCTTTCTTTCCGCCCCGCAAGCCCCACTCTGCTTTATTTCTCCCTTGCTATTGCCTTTCCCTCCCTCTCTGGCCTCATTTCTCTCAGAGTGGAAATAAGGAGAGCCAGTACTGCATGACTCGCCGGTTTCCATGATGGTCAACAGAGTGTTGCATGGAAATCTCTGTCATATTTATGTGAAAGTCTGGAGTTTCCCCCTCCTCACAAAAATTTAACTTTTCTTTGTTTTTAATTTGTGCATCTTCCATTCTGTCAAGATTTATACTAGCCTTTGGGTTCAAATAAGTATTTAAGCACTGCCATCTGTCCCTTCCCCCCAGCCCTCCCCAGTATCATTAATATAATTGCCTTAAAGTGGTCATGGTGTAGCAGCAGATGAAACCTGAGATTTGCAAGACCACAAATTTATTACAGTTTTAGTATAAAGACATACATTGACCCACATACATGAGAACTCTTGGTGATCTTTAGCTGAGCCTGAGTTTAGTTTGTGATGGAGGGCACCAGTAGTACATGTCTTTAAGTTATCATATAGATATTCTACATAGTTCTTTGACATACAGTCTTGACTTTGGTTAGGAAAAGACACAATTACACATGCAAGTAGTCAGCAAAACTTATAACTGACACCTTAGTTTGCATATAAAAATAATAAAACTCTTAGACTGTGGCTGTGTTTTCCAAAACTGAGATGGGAAAATTTCACTACAGGTCAGTCGCATCTTATGCGGGGGTTAGGTGCTGAAGTCAGCGCGTAAGGCGAAAATTGGTGACTATACATGGGGTGGGAGGGGGGGCGGGGCTTGAGTTTGCACACGGTGCCATGCTTAAAGCTGTGCGGCCTGCAGCAGCGGCGCAGCACGTGGTGGTGGTGGGGATGGCTGCGTGCCGCCTGGCCACCACCATGCTGCTGCTCCTGCCTAGCAGTTGGCCACACAGCTCCGGGCATGGCTCCATGGCGACAGCAGGAGGTTTTGGAGGCAGCGGCTGTCACCGCCATAATGGGCCTCCAGGTAAGCGGCAGCGCCGCGTGCAAGCTCAAGTCCCGCCCCCCTCCACCCCATGTATAGTTGAATTTGTGCAAGTTAAATGCACGTATGATGTGACTGACCTGTACTTAATATTGCTCTTTTTTGTAAAATCCAGAGTCTAAAAACAAAATCTTTCTTTTTCTCTTTCTAAACAAATGTTGTCCACCAACTGGGTGAAAGGTTTCTAATTCAGCAAATGTGGATATTAACTACATCTTCCTTCTCTGATTACCAGTATGTGGTCTTATAATTGAAGATGGCTTTTGAGAGTCTAGCTATGCACTAGAAAAGTCACATACTTAATTGCTTTTCAATCATAGGAAAACTCCAGGTTTCCTGTTAGATGTTATAAAGTGGCAAGAGAAGCTTAGGTTACCAATGTTCATAGTGCCTCTCAACACTGATTTTGTTAATGTGGCAGAGTGGTTTTTTGGCCAACCCCCCCCCCCCCCCCCCCCCCAAAACCAAACAAAAAAACCCCACAAAACAAAACAGAAGCTTTTAATAATATTGTTATATTTGGTCATTGTTCCTTCACTTTATCCAAAGGCCTGCTAAGGTATATACAATCCTAGAGTGTATCTGAGCTGATTTATGAATTTCTAGGTCTAATGAAAGCCCAGTATCTGACTGGTCATAAATATGAACGAATGTGGGGGGGGTGTCTATTTCTTTCCCTTTCATGATATACCAAGGCCTGTAAGATGTTTTTAAAAACGCGGGGGAGAAAAACTGCTTTTCTGTTGCATTAGAACAGGGCTGTCCAAGTTTGGTGTGGCTGGGGTTGCATACTGTGTGGGCTGTACATTATGTGGGTGGCCCCCCTTGGAATCCCTAGTTGGGTCCTCTTACTCCCTGTTAGAACAAGCCCATTGTGGGCTGCAGTATGTCACCTTGGGCAAGTGCCAATCCACCTGCCTCCCACTCAAGTGTTTGGGAAAGAGGGGCATCAGCATCCCAGTTCCCATCTTCCTCATACCATAAAAGGGGTAGAACTTATTATGTCCGGCAAGACCCTGGGAAACCTGGTAATACTCGCCTAGGCACAGCAGCATAACATATTGCTTGGTATTACTTCATTGCATGTGTAGGTTCCTTAGGGGTCTTAAAACATGCAAAGTGGTTGATTTAGCTGATCCAGATACTGTATAGCTAGAGTTTTGAAACTCTGGACTTTTATCTGTAGATCTGCTACAGTTTGAGGCCCTTTCTAGGTCATGGATCATTAACTCCATAGACTCCATGGCTCTTTAGAACTTTTATTTGGACTTAAAGAAGCACATAAAGACATCCACATGATTACTCCTAAAATGTTCCATTTTTAATTGAAGAATATTTGGTTTTGGATCCTGGGCCTTTTTGCTTTAATTTGAAGAACACTTTAGATCTGAAAATTGGGAGGTAGTAATAGAAATACTGACAAGCTTTTAACTGAAGGCATAAATAATATAGCTGTCAATAGCTAGCTGCATGTGCATTGTTAATTTTCATTTTAACTGAAAACTGCTTTGCTGGGTTTAATCTAATCAGTACTGGTTGACAGACCTTATGTGGGAGTTCAGTTTTTGCTAGAGACATTTTTTTTTACTATTGACAGCATAAATCTTGCATCTCTAGAAGCCACTAGACTTAACCCCAGTGCTGTGCTGCAGATCATCTAAAAAGCGTTAAGCAGAGAAAGCACCTTCAATATAAAGTGAAAGGATGGGTTTGACATTATGTACAAAAGGTGTTTAAACAAAGATAAAAAGGGGGGGGCAAACACTATTTTCTTGCAGGTATGATCGAACTTTTTAAAGAGTGTTGCATGTAAAATGTGTTCTTTAGAACCCAAAAAGAAATAGATTAGAAAGTTTTAAATATAATCTAGAATCTAAAATGTCAAAAGTAGCAATTTGCAACAGTAGCAAAGCAGCAGCAGTTTTCATTTTTAGAGTTCACTCATTCTGGAAATGTGATCTTTTCCAAACAGCTGTGTGTGAAAATTCAGGGACATCTGCAATTCAGATACTCTTAAATTTTAGAATGTAATATGTAGAGTATTAGTCTTACACAGGCAGTTTATTTTTCTGGTATGTTTGGTACTTGGTAGAAACTTATTTTTTTACACTAATTTCTAGATATGTAATAAAAGTCTGGAGATCACTGTCTGACAGAAAGCTGTTTGAATACACTTTAATAATTCTACTACACTTGAAAATAACAGCATTGAACATACTGATGCAGGGCATAAGATAGAGTATCCTTACACTGTTACACTGTTATGGTTGCAGCTTTTAATTTTTTAATGTTTTTTGCAAACGACTTGGGACCAGAAACTCAAGTGTGTTTACACTTATGGAGCATGGGCACATCAGAATACTAAGTGAAAATCATCTTGTTTTTTAACCTGAACTGAGATCTAGTGAACTTGTTAGCACAAGGGTATCTTTTTTTGGGGTGGGGAGGGGGAGGGCGGG